TTCACAGACAATTTCTAAAGTAGAGAGAAACAGTATTAAATAATTAAAAAAATTAATAAATTGCTAATGTGTATCAAATGTAACTGATATATACGTATATATATATAGTTTTTATTAGAAGAAATATAGCAGACATGTTAAAGATCGAAGTAGATCGGTTTCTTTTAACAACCGCGAAGCAATTTGCAACAAATTAGAACAGCCGCATTATGGTAATTGCCAATTAAGATTTTGTATAGCGCAATGTATTCCGTATAATGACACCGGAGCGCGTAAAGAGTTAAAATTGGCACCCTGAGGGACCGGCATGATCCACGAAAACCCCGTCGGGCCTGCTAGAGACGCGGATGCGAAACGTCAAACGATCGTGGCTGATTCATTTAACGTCGCGCGGACGATCCCGCCAATAATGGGGATCGCGAGCGCAAGCACGCAACAACACGAGTACAGAACTAGTTTCAAGAATTTCTTAATGGGGCACCTGCCGCTATAATGTAAGGCATTCGGAGCGCTGAGCGTGTTCCTGCTCTAATTCCATATGCGAGCGAAATAACAGGAACGATATAACTAGTCCAGTCTGCATGAGCTCGTAAAGCATGCTGATAAAGCGGCAGCGGCACGAATTAACGTGAATGCTCGTGATAATATTTATTTGACACACGGCGCAACATATTATTCATCTGTCACGTACCCAGCTATAAACGTAACCGATTTATAAATCGATTTCTTCATATATATTTTTTTAGCACAACGCATACTTTAATATAAATATATATATGCAATTCACGTGTAACGTTTGACGCCTGAGATGCGCGGGTAGAAAAAAGGATGACGAAGACGTTAAAATAAATATAAAAATTACTAGTTTGCCTTTTCGACCAGCCTTGATTATTTTCGCGTGAGATTAGCGTCCCGACGATTTGCCAAACCACTTACCCAATCCTATTCCTTTATTTAAACCTATCAAACCTTTAAACCTAACACCAAAAAATATACTGATCTGATCCTGCGGTTTGGACAAAACTCCGCTAGAGTCTCGCCGCGAAATTCGTCTCGGTCCGGCGACCACGAATAGTCCGAATCCTTTTTCTCCTCTCGCATTTCGCGATATTCCGTTTCACCTGCCGAAAAATGGCGCAGATGGGTCGGCGAGGGGTACAGACGTCGGCCGACATCCTAAGATCCTAGGCATTTGCTAGTTTAGGTTTTTACCGGTCTCCAGACAGGCCTGACGAAATCGGTGTATCTGCTAATACCTTCTACGGGCAAGGATCACCTGCCGCTTCCTCGTTCGTCCTTGGATAATTGCACCCATCAAGATACACCGTCCGTCGCGTTGGCAGGCAGATCCCACAATGTGGTCAAGATTTATCGAGCCAGAATGGATCGAAACACACACAGCAACTTTGAGGATTTAAAGTTTCCGATGAAGACCAAGAAACCTCACTTCAAAAATTAACCGCATAACTCAAAATTAAAATTGCTTATGTAATTTTTATTTTATTATTAAATTAATTTTTCAATTAATGTCCAAATTTAAATTAGGTTATGCATTTAGTAGTTATGTAAATATAAAAATAGACAATTAAATAATTTTGAATAAAATAAGAAATACCTACAATGAAATGTAGCACCTGGATTGTAATTAAGCACGTGTCCATTAAATCGGCTGGTGCTGATCAGCGTAATTCGACAATTATATTTAATTATCGAGAACGATACGCATTGACGCTTACGTAAGGCTAATTAAAAAAGAAAACATGCAATTTCTCGTAAATTAAGCGAAATTTTCGCCGCGGGACATTATACCAGCGCGCAACCTGTTTCTCAGCGCTTGAATTATCACGCAAGTATAAAAAATCTGAAACGGAGATTATTTATTCGCGGTAATTTAACTTAACGAGATCGTAAACTCTCCGTTAAGTTTTATTATCTGCGTATAAAATAGGTGGCAAAGTACTTATTGAAAAACTTTATCTCGATTAAATAACTGAGTTAAGAATTTTAATGATGAAAAAGCGTTTGTACGAATTTGAAACATATGTACTTGTATATAAGATGTTATTTCTAGCATCAGCACTAGAGTCCTGCTTGCAATCCGCGAAAGCATAATCTATATATTTATATAATTCTTTTATATAAATACACAAGAAATCTTCTCTCTCGTCTTTCCTCGTTTTAAAGAAATTTAATAAGGAAAATTTCAAGTTTCAAAAGATAAGAAAATACAGAATGTAAGAAAGAATGTAAAATTTCTATGCAGACCCAACCAAGAAATATTTATATGCTTTTGTGTCCAAAGCAATCTTCTTTGACCCGAGATTTTCTCTCGAGATCGTGCGACTTCTTCCGCGAATTCGCCGCAACGATTAACCGCTGCGCCACTTTTTCACCAACGTCATGCCGGTCCACCTGCAGATGACAATCTGTTGTGAGGAGGCGCGGCGGAATTCCTCCCTCGTCTCTCTTTCCGCTTTTGCTGGTCGCCATACGGCGCGCGGTTATGCCAAAGGGAGAGAGGAGAGGAGGGGATGGGAAGAAAGAGAGAGATTTAAAATCTCGGCCGGGCGGTCCGAGCGGTGCCTGTACCGTTATTTCGCAGCATGAAGCGCGTGCCCGGCGTCAGCACGATCTCGACTGGGCCTACTCTTAATCCCGGAGGATGCCGCCTCACCGAGATTACAAAGGATAAAAGACTCAGAGCAGTGAACCCCCGTGTCGAGGGGCAACCGGAAAAGCCGACGTGGGTTTCGCAGCCGCGCTTCGCAAACCGGGGGGGACCACCTGTTGGGAGAAAGCGCGCGTTTATCGATCACGTTTTCCTGAAACGTGAGGTTGCGATACTTTCGGAGGATTTGCAGCGAGTCTGCGTTACGAAACGCATGCAAGAGATCTCGCGGTTGAGCTGTTGTGTACCTCTTGCAACAGCAACGCCTCGGTAATAAAAGGAAAAACGTTTGACGCGACGATTGTATTAAAAAGCAGTTCTGAGATTATGGAAATACTCACTCAATAATTCATCGCGTATTATCTAGATTTTTGTCGATGGAGAAGAATGGAAAAAATGACAAATTATACCCACTGATTATATCCACGTCGTGTAACAAGAATTCCTCAAGCTCTCGCATCGCGGTACATACCTAAGTGCAAACTTGTTCGCATCGCGCGATCGCAAACGTTTCATTACGGGAACAGGCATCGATAATCAAAATATTCGGTACCTTCGACGGGAACCGATCTGAAAGAAATTACTATCGTCCGCGAACGGCGGAGTGAAAGCCGAGGAATTTCGCGATCGAGCCTTGATTTCTGGTCGGTCGATCGCTCGAAGTGCTACGTGCGCGAGTAATGGGGCAGGAGGTAACAACTCGAGTAATCTGCCTACGCAATTTTACTGGATCAGCTCGAGGCAGCTCTTACTCGCTCCGTTTTGCCGCCTGCCCTGCCTGCCTCCTCCTCGCCTAAGCAGGGCTTGTGGCGTTGCACGTTTCATTTGCACGAACGCTCGTGGCGGCCCCGCAAGTTTGTGCGTGCAAAAGTCAGCGTGAAGTCGTAACGACCGGGTCGACCCGTGGAGGCTGGACACGCACGTTGTGGCCGCCGGGTTCTCCTACACGTATGCGGGTTCGTCCACCGTGGCGTGCAGTAAATCTCTTTGCGAAAAAAAAAAAATGTCTCGATCGCGCGCCAGCATTACGGTGTAACGGCGAGATATTCTCTAGCTTTTTCTCGCAATTGATTATCGGCCTTTGATCGTTATTCTTGTTAATTGGTAACGATATCGGATGACATCCTCGTTTATTCGTGCGAAATGGAAAAGGCAATTTATTCTGTATTGAATTGAGATTTTGATATATGTATTCTAATGTATTTGCCTTTACAATTAAGGCAATATGAATAAAAAAAATTGCGCATGAAATTGCACGAGTAAATGGTGGTAAAACGTGATTTGCCGAGATTAAGGTAAGGAGTAAAATATTCTTGAAACCGCGCGTGGCGAAATGAGGACTCGCGTAATCTCCTCGAGACGACCGCGCAAAAAAAACACGTATGTTACAGCCAAAACACGTATAATATAACAAAGTTTGTTATTTCACCGGAATATTTTCAACGTGGTCTTTCATAAAATTCCTACATATGTGAAACCGTAATGATTGAAAAACACGGTTTATAATTAATAATTAGAGATTAATATAAAAATGCACCATCATTTTAAAAACCAATATAACAACGAAAAACTCTGGTTAGTCGAAATCGTAAAGCAATATGTTCCAGCAATTAATTATGTCGATGTACAGGTAAAATGTATGTTTACCTGAAATTTTTACCTCATATTTAATAACAAATAATTTCACTCTAATTATAGCAAAAGTTGACTGTACCTATCAAGTCTCTTCTAAACATTAAAGTTTTTTCTTCTGTTATAACATGTGTTCAATTTATAATATTGCTACCAATCACAAGTTGCCCTACAGCGTTCTCAGTTGTGTTATTTGCCCGAGCAAAGGTGTGCAATAAAAGTAATGAAAGGATTTGCTGAAATCTATGGTGACGGTTGTATACTGCGAAATCTTAACGAATGAGACAGAAGCAGATGTGGCGACGAGCGAGATAATTCGCTTCTTTCTCTTCGTGGCGAAGACGCAAAGTGGAACCTGTCGCTAACGAACCGGTAAAACAACGACGCACCCGTAACACGCATAAAGTCCGATGGAAACGAAGAATCGTAAAGTTCCCAACGGGCAGGGACATTAAAATCAAGAGACCGTACATTAGTGCAAGGGTAATGAGCGCCCTGCGGCCAAGTGCGTTACCGGAAAATAACTCGTACAGCGCCACGATCGAATTAGTTTTCATATTGCTCGACTCGAACTTGTTAAGCGCGACTTATACCATCAGAAAATTGGCGCATCGATAAGATAAAATTCACGTTAAAATAACGGCAGAGCTGATTCCCAGTAAAGAATTGCATATGGAATATAATTTGATTCTTGACTCACCGAAGCTGATCCCGTGATATCCTTCATCATGCACCGAGTCATGCTCCTACCTGCGACATAGAAAAGGAAGATTGATATATTAGAAAAATATTAGAAAAATACATAATTATATATTACATCGGAAATATTATACTACAATTATCCTTATATTTTTGTCTAGAAACAATTCGATTTTGTCAAATTGGCAAATTGCCGTTTATGTAAATTATTGTACATAAAAAGCCGAAGAAAAATCAGATTTTATCGATGTCGATCGCGTTACTTCGTTCTTACTGCCAAACAAGGCCATCAAACCAACGGACACTGCGAAGGTGCCTTAAGGCGCGGGTGGGGATGACGAAGCGTGGCGGAGCGTGTGCCTCGCTCGCCGAGCGTGGACGCCTTCGTCGCCCGGAGCGCGGCGATTATCTTTCATTCGTGGCGCATCAAACGAGAACCGGTGGCCGCCACGTCGAACGCGCGGCCCGCGCGCACCTTCTACGTCGCCGGGGCTTTTTCTCCCGAAGGCGCCCGCACGATCCTCCGGATCGTCCGCGCGCCCGTCATTATCCACCTCATCGGCGATTCACGGTCGGCACTTGGCCGATTGCGAGAGGCCGCGCGCTTGCACTCGCGCTCGATCGCACGCACGCCGATTTTTCCGCGGCCGCGTCTCCTCCCGCTCGCAAAGCATGGAAACGCGTCATTACATGTGGCTGCGCATACAACATTTCATTAGGATATAAGGATGCGAATGATCGGATCGTTTGAGATGTAGATCGGAATGCACGCGCCACTGCGAGAGGACTCGCACGACGTCCGTTTCGCCTCGCCTTATTCCTCCCTCTTCCCCACGTGCCCGTGACGATCATGTCTCGTTGATCATTAAAAACAGACGAGACTAGATGTTACAAGTTATTCTTTTTTCCATCTAGCTAGGCGATGGCGAACGACAGCAGTCTGGTTTAAGCACCCGTAATTTTCTCCGCGAGGCATTTCATGGCGCATCGATAGAACCACAAAGTGCTGCATCGAACGTATTTTATATTTAGATGCGCAAGAAAGACAGCCCGAGGTACAAACGCATATTAAGCGACGTTCCCGCCGAACAAGCGCGGCAATTTTCTCGCTGCAAGGGCAATCTCGGCGTTTATAACGTAAAACATCTTATTATCTCTTCGGCAGCTTTTTATATTATGTTTAATATAGACGCACCGCGCGTGAAGGGACAAATTTGTAACATTTTAAGCGGCCGCACAAGTCCCTCGATTTGCACCTCAATCAAGAAATTATTGAGAAAATAACGCGAGATGACGAAGATAGCCTTCGTCACTTCAGGCGCGATCGTTGCACCACGGAAGACACCGTTTTCTTTTCACGGAAATCTGGATGATTGCGATGCGACGCAGGCCAATGCGTTACGGGTATTATTTCGTCCGTCAGAAATTGGTACCTGCGGCAAATGGCGCATCGAAACAAGAGAACCGGAGTCCCATCCGAGGTTTTCGACGAGTATGATCGCGTAATAAGGCAAGTCGGTAGTCACGCGGTGAGGGATACAATCGAATGTTCCTTCTCCAGCGTGAAATTTTTAGATACTAAAAGAATGAAGCGACAACAATATGGTAATTACAATAAATAAACAGTTTAAATGTTGTAAATCTTGTAAAATTGCTACAATCGACAGAATCAAAACAGCCCGAATGTTACGACATCGTAAAATTGAATTCAAATGATTTAGAAGAAACAAGTTCTCGGACTTAACGGTTCAATAAACGCGATAAAGATTCGAAAGTTTGGATCGAACGATATTCGCGATTGTCTTTTTGTGGATTGGAATCCTCGTTTCGGTGGCGCCAGGAGGTTTTGATACGCTCCCGTCGAAGCAGGGTCACGGCGTAGAAGACGCGCTGCTCCCTACAGCCAGTAAAACCCGAATGTACTTTAAATGCTCAATTTGGCAGCCGTAAAAACGGCATTTATTTATGGTGCTTTGGCCATCAACGAAAAAGCCGATGCCGCTGAAAATTATTGCTCGCTCAAAAACCCGAAAGATCCTTGATCCTCTCTTTCTCGGCGCCGCGGGTTCGTGCTTTCCAGCTGAATGCTTTACGAGTTCGTCCAACTTCTCCACAAATCTTACTATACGCATACCGCTGATAATTTTTTCCTCGGCTCCCCAAAAGACTTGCCGCACCGCACATAACCGGAATTCAAATATGCCAAAAATTCAAAAGAATATTTACATTGAAAAAGATGGCACACAAAATAATAACAATGCATTTGCCCTGTAATCAAAAACAAATAAAAATCACGTTGATATTCTGTCAATGTAAAACTTGAGAGAAAAAAAATAAACGATGTTCACACATAGACGTATTTTATTTCAACGATTTCCTAATGTGCTAGTCAATTCTCGCTTTCGTATAATTATTCCGAATTCTATAGACTTTTACGTATGGAGATAAGGTCTGGTTTGTTTTGCTACTCAGAGATCTCCGTTTGAATCGAGAGGCAAACTGCGACTCTCGAAGCTAAATCCGTATGCACGATTACATTTTATTGCTCGTCTTGCGCACTCATAATTATTGCAGCAATTAGACGCCGAATAATTAATCGGAGGACAGAAGTTATGCGCACGCGAATTCTCTTCGGCAAGAGCATGGCACGCCAGGCCGCGGTTAAAGGCGGCCGAGCCGGTGGGCCGGAGAATGAAAGGGGCGAGAAGGGACCCTTCGTGGGAAAGGACGATTCGTCGGGCGGATTCCGGGATAATGCAACCGTCTTATAGAAACGAATGTTCAGGACCCCGAGGAATATCGCGTGACCACTCGTGGGATGTTCGGAATGTTACTCGAGCACTCGGATAGCCGACGGTTATGCGCGGCGTAACCTTCCAGCGTTCCATATCGTTAAAGGCTCGCATATATGCGTATACGCGAGAGAGCCGCTGACATGGCTACAGCGAGTTGTGGAAGCCCCGTGACCCCACCGTGCCCGGCTCTCGTCCGCTTATCCGCGCCGCGTAATTTGCCGAATTAATTTTCTGCACCGTCGGCCGGCGATCAAAGAGACGGAGAAACCCGGGGATTCCGCGTGTGTTTCTTTTTAATTGGCGGGGACCACTCTCTACGCGCACGCCGAACAGAAGCGGCGCGAATTTGCGCGTCGTTGCTACAGCAGAATCCTCTGCACGATGGAAATAAGAATAATCCGCGATAATTTGCGATAATGTAAACGTGATTGCGGTACGAAAATGATGTACAAGCAATTAATTTGGTTTCATTACTTACATCTTCGTATTGTGATACTAAAAAATATACATACGCGTAATAAATTTGGATACATTTTTCCGAGTTTCAAATATAAATATATTAGGTATTGAATATATTAGGTAAATGTAAAAAATCACAAATAATACGAAATTTTATAATAAACAAATCCAGGTCTCTCCTATAAAATATATTCGGTTTTTTAATCTTCATTAAAATAAGCGATTCATTTTCAATGGCTACTATAGTATATATTTAGTATAGGGTCGTTTCTTAATTAATGGTCCGCCTCTAGCTTCTCGATCCCGCGTTTCTGCCTCATGTAATTTGCCAAATTAATTCTGCTGCAGCATTAAACAGCAAGATAAGAAAAGTTCTGGAATTTCACATTTTAGCGGGTTCTCTTTAACAAGCGAAAGTACGGCGCATACGGAATGCTATAATTTTTTCTTAATTTTAAAGTAACTTACGTACTAACAATATCAATTATCACATATTTTCAATTTTTCACTCGACATATTATATTGATGCTCATAAATTTCACGGAAAAAAATAATTGCGCGTTAATAACAAAATATTTATTTTAAGAGAAAACCTGTATACTGCCAAAGTTCTACGTAATCGCCAAAAATTATTTGTTCTTAAACAAATTAGTTATTATGATGATATCGCCGACAATGTTACTATTAATTAGCCATCAACGACATATCTTGTAATTATCAACAGTGAAATGCGGAAATGTGGGATAATCCTTCGACGATTTATTATTTAGAAAATCACATTGGAAACTATATGGGAAATTGTACTATGTCCGGATAAATATATGCAAAATAGTAAATACAGACTTAATATTCATTCAAAAGAATTTCAACTATTATGCAACAATATATAGTCATTTTAATAATATAGTCATTAACTTGACTTTTTGATGGCATATATAAATAAGTCCGCAATTCGTGCATTCTTATGTTTCCAGAAAAACTTTTACGCGATTATTTTTGCATAAAAAAATCTTTCTTTTGCATAAGTGAAGATGTAAATCTCCTACAGATCTAGTATATTTAATATTTTATTATAGATCACAAGTTATTTAAAAATTAGTAAAATTGTACTTTCAAAAACTATCTAGGCCTTTGTCAAATATCTGACAATGAATTATATAAAATATTTTTTCGCATTATAAGAACACAAGGTGTATTTTCGCCTCTCCCTTTAATTCGTACACAGATATAGAATCAAGGTCGCACAATATATTCCTCGCGATCCATAAGCGCAGCGGGATTTCCATTATCCGCCAGACACGGGAGCAGATGCGAGCGGACCTCCACGGATTTAATTACGCCTAATTAGTCGGCGGCCAGTAAGCTAAAAGTCCAGTGCCGATTTTCTTACCGCTACTTATTCCATTTAAGCTCATTCCACCTTGTTCTCCCTTAGGGAGAATATATGCCTTCGACGCCGGCCGTCTTCTGTCCACCATGCGGCGAAACAAAACAGTATGTCCGTTAAATACGGGTATAATACCCGCGAAGAGAATGCCATGGAGTTTCCAAGAGTCGAAGAAACCCCCTTAAGACGGTGTCGAATAAATGCGAAAGGTATAAATTCTTTCGCGCGTTTTATGCGCGATATTAAAGGCGCGGAACTTTTAATGGCGCGCGGCGCGTCGAAAACCGCATTGGCAGGTATATCGTGGGATTAAATTTTGGATCATGGAATAAGCCACCGAAGAATGTTTTGATATTAATGCGCTGAGCATGCTCTACCTCGCCGAACAAAAATCGTAACGGTATTGCGCC